TATATATGTGTATATATATATAATAATAATAATATTATATATATATATAATATAAATATAATATAAATATTATATATATTTATATTATAATAATATATAATATAAATATTATATATATATATATATATATATACTTACAAGAGAATTTTAACACAGTAAGAAATAATATAAACGTGTGTTCTCCTCCAACGAATAAACGAAAATTGATTACAGTAACATGTCTAAAAATAAAATGTATACTCGATAAGTTAAACAATTGCGAGAACATTGATTAATACGTTGCTGTATCAATTATTATTCGGTAACAACGATTGTTAAAACAGGACACCGAAATCGGTTAATTTCCGTGTGTTCGTGAAACGTGGATCCGATTGCATATTTCAGACGATCCGTTTAATGTTGGAAGTTTTTAATCAGAGAACAATGAACGCTGAACGTCACATAAATCCGACAACGATATGTGTGTAAACAACATAGCGACATTAATTCCGAAAGGATGGGACTAGATAACAATCGATATATCATCTCGACGAACAGAACAATTGCGGATCTAAACGCGCCTTTTTTTTTCTCTTCTATGTAAAATACTCGCCGGTACGACGTGTTTCTTAGGTTTCTCTATCCTAACATTTAACAATTAACATTCAAACAATTAGCCCGGTTACATGCACAGACCGATCGAAAACAAGTCCTCTTCCGTGGCAGAAAAAACAAATACGGGAACACTAATACATGTGTGTAATACGTACGAACAGTTTCACTCGACGAATTTGTGGAATACAGTTTTTCGGAGAGTCCCACGGCTCTCTCCCTCTCTCTCTTTCTTTCTCTATTTCGTTCTCTCTTTTTCTTGATTTACATCGTTCGATTTGGAATCGCGTGAATTGCTTGTAAAGAGGATTGCTTCCACCGGTACGTTAAAGCTACCAGATATACGTAGTTTTACCACGAATTTATACATATACACTTGATTTACACCGAAAATATAACGTGTCATATGAATATTTTTTACCACTTTCTCTCTGTTTTTAGTTTCTCTTTGCTTAAATTTCTTCATATTTAACATGTCGCGTAGCAAGTATCTTTTTATTTTTTCTCTCTGATCGATCGACTGCGATACGGTGTCTGAGAAATCGCTCGTCGCCTGCGATTCGCTTCAAAAAATCCGCTACAATGTACACACATATACATATATTTATATGTATTTATATACGTATAATCCTCCGAGTAAAAACTGTGTTGCATAGAAGAACGTTCATTGTACCTTTCTCTCATTATTTTCTCTTTTTTTCTTTGGAAACGATTCCATAAAATATATATAACAGATCAATTTGCGATTCATAGAGCTGTGAGAGTTATTCGGGTTCGCTAAGATCGTTCAGATCTCCGCATAGTTTTGGCACTTTGCACTCTTAGGTCAATCGTTCTATATCACTAACGTCGCAACGAAACAACTTTGCCATTGTTATCGCGAGGAAATAGCGGATGAACGAAATCACGCGAATCAATAAACCAGGATTTTGTTCTCTCGTTTCGATCGCTTTGTACCTCTTTAATCGATTCAGAGACGTTTTTGATAGCGTCAACGAAATGTATTAACGTTTCGTGGCACCTTCAGCTTCCAGGTACGTATCTCTCTTTCTCTTCACTTTCTATGAAAAATGTCTGCTTCTTCGGAATACCTTCTGTTCTAATTACAGTAAATACAGCAAAGTCCCCTAATTCGTGCTCAGATTGCGCATGAAAAATGGACAATTTGGGAAGAGGAGATACGATTATTCGAGCCTTGCGGTTCGTTTTCATAACTGTAACTATAATACAGAGTATCCCAAAATTATGGTACTTCCGGGAAACGAGGGATTCCTGAGCTCATTCGAAGTAACTTTGTCCTTTACAAAAATTTTCTCCGAGGCACCGTTCACGAGTTATCGACGAAAAACGCTGACCAATGAGAGGCGAGAGGCGAGGCCTAGCGCTAGACGGCCGAGTCAACCAGCGGACGAAGCTCAGTTCCGCTCATTGGCTCGGCCCGCCTCGCGCCAGCCGCGCTCGCCTCTCATTGGTCACTGTTTTTCCTTAATAACTCGCAAACGAAGCCGCGGATCGCAATCTCGCTGAGGAAAAAGTTACTTCGAATGATCTCAGGAACCTCTTATTTCCTCGAAGTACCACGATTTTGGGACACCCTGGATATTGTAAAAGCGAGTCGCAAGGCTCGAATGATCGTACCTTCTCTTCCCAAATTGTTCCATTTTCGTTTACAAACTGCCGCAAAAATCGGGGAGAGTTTACTATAACACGTGTCTACAACGTAAGATAACAAGCATCGTTTCTCCGCACGCCTCAGATCCATGATTCTCGCATCGAAACCGTCGACAATTTCTTGCACCGCCGTCGAATTATCCGCGTCGATATCTCGGCGTGAAATGCTCGGCGACAATATCGCGTGTGTTCGTCCTGCGATTTTTCATACGCCGTGCCCATACACGCAGTCGAGATATATATTTATATATTCTCAGTATACCTCTTATTAATACGTAATCTATACGATTGGACCATCTGTCAGCCATACATGCACAGCCTGACCATAATCTTCCGTAGTAGTTCTATCTAATAATTCATCTTAAGTATTGATACTGACCGTTTACGGCTCGATGACCACGCGAAATACTATTCGATCGCCCTATTAAGTTTCACCTGTTTACCGGGACATCAAGCCCTTACCGCGCCGCTCAATTCCCTTTTCTTTTAATTTTTTTCTTTTTTTTTCTTTTGATCTCTCTGTCCTGCAGTTACGACGCTACACCTAGTAGACACCACCGAAAATATCTTCGATAAAGATGCGGCTAACTATCGAGAAGGAGATAGATTTCGTATAGATAAGGTAGATCGTTGAATCCTATTCAAGTACAGTGTTCTGTCTACCCCGAAGTAGGCGAGATATCATGTGCATTTTGTAACCCTCTACGAAATTCTTTCGCCGTTCGCCCGGTTCCTCGTTGGAGCACAGTTAATCGGCTTCTACAATCGGCGACGAATTAATATTAATATTCTCGATCGATATAATATTAATATTAATTTAATATTAATATAATAATAATATAATAATATATAATATATTATACTATAATATATATATTACATATATATTATTATTATAATATTATATATTATTATAAAATTATATATATATAATATATATAATAATAATATTAATATTAATATTATATCTGTCTCTTATACACATCTAGATGTGTATAAGAGACAGATATAATATTAATATTAATATTATATCTGTCTCTTATACACATCTAGATGTGTATAAGAGACAGATATAATATTAATATTAATATTATATCTGTCTCTTATACACATCTAGATGTGTATAAGAGACAGATATTATACTATAATATATATATTACATATATATTATTATTATAATATTATATATTATTATATATTATTATAATATTATATATATATTATATATATAATAATAATATATAATAATAATATTAATATTAATATTCTTTTCGATCGAGACATTTATATGTAAATTCTCCATAATCTCGCTATAGCTTGTAAATAAATGTGGACGATTTGAGAATTATTATTATTATAATTAGTATTATAAAATTATTATTATAATGATTCGAGTCTCGATTAATCAAAACCTCGAAACTCGATTATTCGAGTTTTCATAATTGTCGACGATCGGCAATCATAAAAACGAGCAGCAGGGCTCGAATAATCATTCTGAAATTGTCCACATTTATTTACAAGCTACAGTAAGAAGATCGTGTCATGGTTAAATTATAATCGAATATTTCGGCTCGATTAATTCTCAAATTCTCCATTTTGCTGCATAGTCCGAGCGTTAATTACGGAGAATTCATCGCAGTCCGGAGACGGTAGTAACACCGACTTTCAAATGTAAAACATGCGATGGCTATTGATTTACAACCGAACTCTTTACACACAAAAAAAATGCTACTCCGTGTGTCCGACGTTATTAGGTCACCACAATTTCTCTATACGTCAAGCGATATCTGGGTTATTAAAAAAACAAGAGAAGCGGAGGAAACGTGACAATCGTTTCCGATACCGAGCGAGTTACAACGACGCTTCGTCGGATCGATAGTAACGCAAATTTTACTTTAGAAAATTCAGATATTTAATTTTTCTATTGTATAAGATACTCTAATAACGACTCCGAGATAATAATAAATTTTAGAAAATAATTATATCGTGTCATAATTTTGGGAGACACGTGTGAACATTTTGGCTGCTGCATCATTCCAATGATGCAATCATTCCGTGCTCCCAATTCCGTGAAAACGAGACGGAATATTCTTTACTATCTTCTTTATAATCTAGAT